ATAGCAAAATTATAACTAAATCAATAGGCTTAAACCATTGAGGAGCAAAACCCCAATTCTCAAGGTTTATTTTGTGCCCAAAACACTTCTTTTCATCCAATTATTCACTCAAAACATTAGATCACTATATAGAAACTCAAAACATGCTCCCTAGAATCCAAAGAAACAAAAGCTTACAAGAATAAAGCCTTTGGGATCAAAATCCAAAAATTTCCTCTTCTAAAATTGAAGAAAATCAAGAGAAAGAGAAGAGGATTGAAGTAGGGAGTTTTACCTATCGTGTAGCCGAGCTCGCAACGGTCGCAAAGACTCCTAGATCCAAGCCTAACTCCCTCCCTTTCTCTTCTCTTCTTCCTCTCTCTCTCTCCCGTTTGTGCGTTTGCTTCCTTTCTCATTTTCTCTGCGTTTCTGCATCAGTTTGCTCCTTAAAATGCTGGTCAAAAACTTTGGGGAAAATTACAAGAAAGGGCCCAACATTTTTTATTATTGCACAAAAGCCCGGGTCAACTTTGGTAATTTTTCCCATAGTTAAAAATCAAATAAAACCAAACTTTTGCTTAGTAAAATTCAAAACTCTGGGCCTCTATTAAATTATTCTAAATTTTAATTTAATTATAGATTTTTATTTTATTTTTATTTATTTTTTTTAAATAAATTTGAGTCTTAAAATTTTTAGGATGTTACATCGTGTGCCACAGTGCACACTACACAAGCCACGGCTCATGATGCAGCGACCAAAATGTCAATTTTGCTTTGCTCGATACCTCCTAACTTGATCCAACTTTCATCCTAACTCAATTTAGAGCCAAATATGACCCAAAAATCCAATTAGCAACCCAAAACCATATTTAAAATAATTAATCATATTTTTAACTAATGTATCCCTTAGTTAGTCAATTTTTCTAGATTTTAAGTTTTCAGATGTTACACAATTTATCTTCAAAATCCTCCTAAAATGATGCCCTAGTAGTGCCCAAAGCTGTCCCCTTTGTGTTCTAGGTTTTCTACCACAAAAACTGATTTTTTTCTAATGATTTTCAAAATTTAATCTATTTGTTGTGCCGTGCGCCATAGCGCACGCCACAGAAGCAGTGGCTCACGATGTAGCGAGCAAAATGTCAATTTTGCTCTCCCCGATGCCACCCGACTTGATCCAACTTCCATCCTAACTTAATTTAAAGCCAAATATGACCTAAAAAGTCAATTAACAACCCAAAAACATAATTAAATAAATTAATCATTTTTTAACTAATTTATCCTTAATTAGTTAATTTTTTTTTCAAATCTGAAGTTTTTAGATGTTTAACACCCTACATGTGAGTTAAGGCGATATTGGGACACTTTTTACCATAATATTTTTTGAAAATAAATAATTATTTATTTAAAATTGCTTACCAGAAACCTTTTATTTTTGCTATTTGAAATTCAAATTTTAACCTTATTTGTTTTCTAGGCTTTAAAAAGATTTCTTAATAGATTTTATTAAGGATAATTATCCTCTAAATGGCTCCAAACAAGTGCTTAGTGGTAGGTTTATGTGCTTGTAACTTGCACTTAATGGTGGTTTAATCCGGTGTTTTTGTCCCATCGTTCATGTTGAGGGTCGTGGCCTATATATAGGATTGTATGTAGACAAAATAAACTTGGTTGGCTCTTGAGCTTTCGAGCCGATTCTCTCCTCCTCCTTAGATGTTGTGTTGTGTTGTCTAAGTTAGTTTTTGTCAGTTTTTTACTATTCTGTTGCCTTGCTTATTTTGCAAGATGAGCCTATTTAATCCTAGGGAGCTGTTGTGTGGACGTACCAGTGTGCTAGAATAGCTCTTAAGGATAGTGTCCTTCGACACGACTTATGCTTGAATTTGCTACCTACTGCCAACAAATAATCTCCCATAACAGAACAATTCATACATATATGATGTTCAAACAAATATGAATTCTAGAGTCACATACTTCTAAATATGTAAATTCCATACCAAACATAGTTGTGTGTGTGTGTGTATCAATATTTTTCATCTCACTAGCAATTATTTCCATATAGCAATTACTCTCTCCATTAAAAATTGTAAGACACTTTTTAAGGAGTTGGATATTTAAAAATGTAAGGTATTTTTTAATCTTTTGAGGTGTAATCATTACTTTTTTTTAAATGGCCCTTGTTTATATATATTTATTGTAGGGTGATTAATAGAAGTAAATATGAAAAAATATGGTTAGTTTAAAAGTAGATAACTACTTTATAGGCAATGAGATTTGGTGAAAAATATTTTATATTTTTTAACAGAGAGATATACATTTGTAAAGTATATATTTCCAAATAATGCTTAATTTAAATAAATTATATACAACTAATTGCACAACACACACAGCATAGTAGTAAAGTTTACGTTTACCCCTAACAAGCAAGTTGCTTGAAACAAGTGAATTTTGACACCAATAACATTAACAACGCACTTTACATAACATTTAATACTAACAATAATTAATATTAGTTATTAAACACTAATCACAACAAAATTTTAGGTTAAATTAATTACCCTCATTACCTAGCATCCTTCCATACACTTTAAATCTTAAAACTTAATCATCTTTATTGTTAATTCACTTTTAATACACTCATTTAATCTCTCATTAACATAATTAACTTCTTGGGAGCTTTAACTTTGTATTTAATAAATTCTAAAAATCTAGAACTTGTCTCAAGCCACAAATCATCCTCTCAATATCTTACAAACATTTTTTTCTTCTAAATCCAATAAAACTCTTAATCATCACAAAAAAGCCCTAATTTTCTTTAAACTTTAATTTTGTCTAAACTTTATTTTTTTTTTTTATAAATTTCAATTTACTACTACAAATAAATTTCTCAATTTCAATTACATTCATATAATTCAATAACGTCATTTCACTCATTAGAGATATTAAACACATAATTTCTTTAAATCATCCTAAATCTCAAAATTTTAACATTTACAATACCTAAAAAAATCATTAATATTCACATTCAATAATAACCTCAAAACCAATCTATTTAATCATTAGCACAACATCCATTAACCTAAAATAAACTATTAAATTTGAAATATATCACCATCAAAATCATAAATCACAAATTTTTAACTAAACCCTAAGTTTAATTCTTCGAATTAGATAATTGAGCAAAATCTACACCATACAAACTCTTATTATAACATCATTAGCTTAATTTAAAACTAAATAATTAATTGAAATACTTGAAAACTCAAAATTTGTCAAATCCTAGGTCCAAAATAAAGAGGATATGTAATCAAGAAAAATATTTAGAATACTTTTGTAATCTTTAAAAGTTTGAAATTGCACCAAAATATCTTATTATGGAGCGTACCTTCAAAAATCTCTCAACCTCTCTCTCTCACGTGGTGCCATCGGAAGCAAAATGAAGAAACTGATGTCCTGATTTAATTAATATAATTTTAATCAATATAAAAGTGTTTAGGGTAAACAAGTAAGTTAGCTCTTAAACTATAGGTCCAAAAGCGTCTGAGACTCTAAACTAATTTTTTGGGCAATGTTGCCTTTCAACTTTTGAAAATGATGCAATCTAACTATTGCCATCATTAATATAAGTTAATTTTAACCATCAGTTGACTGAAAAATGATAAAAAAAGGATATCAAAAATTATAAAAAGGACGGGCTCTAACAAGTTCTCGAAACTTAACTCACCTAGACTTTTATGTATAAACATCTAGTTAATATTTAATTTTAATCAATTTAAAAGGTATTTAGGGTAAATGAGCAAATTAACCTCTAAACTATATGTTTAAAAGCATTTGGGACCCTAAACTCATTATTTGTACAATGTTGCCTTTCAACTTTTGAAAATGGTGCAACTTGATTCCTACCATTAACAAAGTTAATTTTAATCATCAATTGATCAGAAAATGACAAAAAATGATATCAAAAATTATAAAAAAAGGATTCAAAAATTACAATAAAGGACCAAGAAAAAGGATCCAAAAAATTACAGAACTGGGCAAAAAATTTTCCTCATCATTTTCTATGCTTTTTGGGTCCTTTTGTATCATTTTTGGCCAACTGACTATTAAAGTTAGCTTATGTTAATAGTAGTCAGATTGCATTATTTTCAAAAGTTAAAAGAAAAATTTAAAAAAATGAATTTGTGATCTTAGGTATTTTTGAACTTATAGCTTAGGGACTAATTTGCTTATTTATATAACTTTTTTTATTTACAATGGTAAAAATTGTGAAGAAATATTTTACATCTTTTTACCGTCTCCAAACAATATGTGTTTTTTTATTGGCGGATTTAATATCACATATCGTCAAATAACTATATCAACCCTTTTCAAATTTAAATGTAATTCGTGTGAAGATTAAAAAAAAGAAGAGGGGAATTTCTCTCAGTTAGATTTAATAAGAATATCATTTGAATTTAACTTAATAAAATATTTAAATAAAAAATAATATAAAGTTTAAATAAAGACAATATATGAAAACATTAATTCAACACATTTGCCCCAAGGAAGATTTTAATCCATGTATGTGTATAAATTATGTAACACGGGACTGAAATTCTAATAAAAATAATTATATACAAATCTCACACAAAAAAATTAATTGTTATAAAATTTATTAATAACTAAGTTCTTAATAAATTTTATATAATTAATTTTTTATAAATATTTTCACTAAGTTTTTTTTATTTTTATTTTTTTTTTTGAAACTTGAAAAAGTTGCCTTTAAATTATTAATTACTTTATTTGTTAATAAAATAAAAATTTTAAATATTCGGGCATGAGGGCTTCTTCTACTCCATTGACTCACTCAATTCAAAAAAATAATTCAACATTCAAAGTCCACTTTGTGTCGCTGTTCGTGATGTCGATCGAAGTAGCTTCCTTTCGTCTTCCTCCCCCAGTTCTCATTCAATAATGGATAAATGCACTGGATTTCTGTACACATTCATTCTGCCATCACCTTCTTTGTAGTTACCAGGTGAGTCAAGGAGGATTTCTCAGATTCCATGGATGATAATTTTTTTGTATTGTGATTTCAGGCTTTCTCCGATTCAATCATTTCTTTCCCTGAAGCTTGTTTTGCTCTTTTCATATTACTCAGATTCAGATTGCTCGTTCTTCCGTATCCAATTAAGTTTTCACCAAATCTATTTTGGACCTTTTACAGCGAAAAAAACTCTTGTTAATTAGTTCTTACATGACTCATTTCGGTTTTGGCGAAACACTATCTTTTGGAGGTTCAAACCATGGATTGGGCCACCTAGTTGTTCCGTTTCAAACCACTACGAGTTCCCTGAGGGTCTTGCTTCTGCATGGAAACTTGGATATATGCGTAAAAGGGGCTAGAAACCTGCCCAATTTAGATATGTTCCATCAGAAAATGGGGGATATGTTTTCCAGATTACCTGGAAAACTTGGCCAAAAAATTCAAGGGCATGTGTCCAACACAATCATTACTAGTGATCCTTACGTGACTGTATCTCTGGTGGGTGCTGTAATTGCAAGGACATTTGTAATCAAGAACGATGAGAACCCTATCTGGATGCAGCATTTCTATGTTCCTGTAGCACATCATGCTGCAGAAGTACACTTTGTGGTAAAGGAGAGCGATATTGTGGGTTCACAAATCATGGGTGCGGTTGGAATTCCAGTGGAACAGTTATACAAAGGCGCAAAAGTTGAAGGGTCATTTCCAATCCTTAATTCTAGTGGGAAACCTTGCAAAGATGGAGCAGTCTTGAGTTTATCCATTCAATACATTCCTTTTGATAAGGTGGCTCTTTATGGTCATGGTATAGGGACAGGTCCTAGCTATGAGGGGGTTCCAGGTACGTACTTTCCCCTTAGGAATGGGGGTCGAGTTAGACTTTATCAAGATGCTCATGTTCATGGAGGTTCCCTTCTTCCTAATTTGAAGATCGAAGGTGGTGTGAATTATGAGCATGGCAATTGCTGGCATGACATCTTTGATGCAATAAGTCAGGCCCAACGATTAGTATACATTGTGGGGTGGTCTGTATACTACAATGTTAGACTGGTTCGAGATACTGATGATGCTAAAGCTTGTACATTAGGTGATCTTCTCAAAATCAAATCCCAAGAAGGTGCGAGAGTTCTGCTACTTGTGTGGGACGATCCTACTTCTAGAAGCATGCTTGGTGGATATAAAACGGTAAAGAACTTTAAACTATGTTTCAATTTATTTTTTGTGGCACTTTGTATGTTTATATTTATGTAGAATGCCATGACATGCCTTTAAACCATGTTTATATAGGGTTTGGCCTAAGTGGGTAAGTGAATTCAACATATTCAACTTGAAAAAACCCACGCTATATCTCCAAATTGGTCCTTGTAATGAACATAGAGTTTGATAATTGGCATTCAAGTCCAAAACATGTTGAAAATCAAATATCTGTGCATTTGAATTAGGTTACATAAAAACTCTCAAGCATAGACATAAAATCATTGAGTTTTAGTACTACAAATGATCATCTTACCAAATAAAGAATGTCTTCCATCCCCTCGTGTTTTCCCATGCTTTCATTATTTGCAAAATTGTGTTGAGTGCGAAGTTGCTATTTGGTTAGAGGTAGAAAAAACAACATAATACAAGTAGAGTTTTAGTATGACAACTCTTAGGAAATGCTCTATATAACATCCTAATTTTTTAATCCAGTTTTAATTACTAATTAAGGGTTTAATTAGTAAATATGTGGATTAATTTGATTAATTATGTTTTTAAATTTTTAATGGAAGTTTTGGATCATTTGGAAGCTTTAGAGTCTAGTTAGGAAGGAGTTAAAAGTGAATTAGGGTCAGATTTGAGGAGAATGTATGATGGCACATTCTGTGCCATGCACATGTTGTGTCACTACAAATGACAAGTAAGTTTATAAGTGCGTGAATCAGCTATTAGGGCATAAGAGAATTTAAGAATTTGGAAGCTTGTAGGGAAGAAAAAAAAGGCTTGCTAGGGTTTAACAAGTTGGAATACTAGAAGCTGTTTCAGACTATCATGCATTTTGAGAAGTCTTTCCTCTCTCCTTTTCACTTCTCACCTTAGGAATTCAAGAGGTTAGAGAGAGAGAGAGAGAGAGAGAGAAGTAATTTGTTTTGTAAAAGTTAGGAACTCACGCTTTAAGGGTTGCATGTGGTTCCTATAGTTAAAGCTAAGCTTTCAAGCTAAGGATGGGTGGCTTTTTAGGGAAAGGAGATGAGGGTTGTTTAACATCATAAAATTTTATTAGAAAAAAAACTAGTTCCTATTGTATGGGTAAATTAGTAATTTAGTAGATTAATTGGATAATCAAGATTTTGGATGGCAAGATAAGGTTTTGGCTTCTTTGAATGTTGAATGGATAGTATTGAGTGGAAGAATGATGATACGGAGTGAAGCATTCAAGCATGATGAAATTTTCCTCATTGTGTTACACGCTGCGACATATACTGTGTGTACTGTGGCGCATGGCATAAACTTCTAACTTTAAATTTCATGGATCAAAAGAAAAGAGAGGGGGAAAAGAGGAAAAGGAGCGTAAGGGAGAGAAGAAGGAGAAGGGTTCTGCTAGGGTAAAGCTTCATGGCTACTCGAGGGATATTTCTAACCTGTTACTTGTTGAATAAGTTTCATACCACCTTAAGCTCTGATCCTATACTAATTTCTCTTAACTAAGTTATAGAGAAATTGAATCAGGAGTTTTAAAGGGTTGTTTTCTTACCTTTTTGTAATAAAAAGGCTTTACGACTGGTTTGAAAGTTAATGGTAAAGCTTTAAAGCTATAGGCTTAAGTTAGATAATTTTAATGAGTAAAAATGGGTAAAGATTGATAAGAAATGTATTAAGGTTACTTTAAGTGTCAAAAGAATTTAGAAGGATGAAATGGACTTAGGAAGGATAAATGGAAGTTAATGGAGGCTTAATTGTTGCAATTAGTACTTTTAGTCAATTTGATGATTGACTCAAGGTGCTAATTTATGTAGATTATCATAAATTGTGCATTGGTTGAGCGAAAGGAATCCAAGTAAGGATAATTGTGTTGTTGTAACCGTTCTTGAGAACATGAGCGTTGAGATAACTGAATAGTTTGTTATTTTTATTAGCTAGTGTAACTATGTATAAGTGAAGGCAAAAAATTGTGATTTTATGATTTCCAATTTAATATCTTTTACAATGTGCATGTTTTAGCATTCAACTGATGTGTCAATGAGGATTTAGTTAAAAATGGTTTTAAAAAGAAAATTTAGTATGTGTATATATATTTATATCTATAAATCTATAAGCGTGGGAAGTAAATGATTTTATGCATATGATAGCAGCATGATCATGATAGTGGGTGATAGTTTACCCTCTGTGTGAGTGATGGAGATATATCTGTAAAGAAATCCATATAGTTGAATTGTCACCATGGGACATTCGTGCAACATATTATTTATGACTGTTACCATGGGACATCCAAGCAGTTTGACAACTCCTTAGTACTCGTGAAGGTGCAGTTAGGAGTCAACAAGACCCCCAGTGTGTGTGAAAGGGGGAACTGTAGTCCTCAAGTGGGTTAGAATACCTTTGATTGAGTATTTCTACCACTGAAAGTGTGCTCTGATCAATATGTGATTGGTCTAATAGAGTCTATGATTTTAGTTGGGGAGCTTCGAGGATCGACAGATAGAGGATCATGCTAGTATGTGTGGTTTCTATGAGAAATGACTATAATTATGCATGTGTATATATTTACTATTTGTGAATGTTAGAATGATTTTGTTTACTTATATGTAGTTATTCTTGCTAATAGGTATTTAATGAATTATTTTGGTTATTGAGATTATTATCTTACCTGTGCTTATTCATTTTTTCAAGGTCTGACATTGGTAGCTCGAAAGGGAAAGATTCAGGCTGAGATTAGAGGCTCTCTTTCTATCCCACTTGGGGTTAATGTAATGAAATTGATTGTGTTAATAATGTAATATCTTAAATTTCTTAATCCTGGGATTAGTGGTTAGTTGAAGGTAGAGTGGTAATTAGTGTAGGATTAGAGATTCAGATGATTACTTGATAATTTGACTTGTTGGTGTGTTGTATGAATAGATATGGGTGAGAGGAGTACGTTTTGGGTCGAAGCAAGTACATGTGGTGAAAATAAATCTTACTATGCCACGCGTTGTGGCTTGTGTTGCATAGTCTATAGTGCATAGACCAGACATTGCCTTCATAAATCGTGAAATTTCAAAGGAGTAAAATTTTGGAAACATATGAGAGAAGGAGAGAAGAAGGGTTGAGAAGCTAGGGTAGCTATTTCAGGTCATTGGAAGGTACTTTTGATCGGTAACTTATTAGATAAGCTACATATAAATCTTACCTTCCATTCTACACAAATTTTTCTAAAAATGAATTATGAAAAAATTGAATCAGTGAAATTTGAAGGGTTTGATTCTTACCTAATAGTAATAAAAAAGTTCTTAAGAGTTAAGTTAGAGCTTTGTGATTGATTTAAAGCTGAACAATAGAGCTTTAAGTCTGTAGGCTCAATTTGGCCTTAGAGAGAGAGAATTTATGGCAATAATATGATTTAAGTGAAATAAATTAGTTGAGGTAATGTAAAGTAATAATCGGGTAGTAATGGGCTTAGAATGGATAAATGGGAATTAGTTTATAGATGAATATAGCCCTAGATAATAAATATGAGTTTTTGATCAAAATAAACTAAATGACTAAAATGTGCCAAATGTGTTCAGATTGGCATATTGGACGTGTAAGTAGAGAAAAGGAGCTTGAGATAAGCCATTATGGTATTTAAAATTCACGGGTAACCTTTTCAGTGACAGAAGGGTTGAGGTAACTGAATAACTTTCTTTTTTTGACTATTTATTATAACTGTGTGTGAGTATGTTATGTAGTACATGAATTATTTTTGGATTAAGCATGTTTTATAGCATTGTGTGAATGTTGTATGAAATAGCTTTTGACTGAATAAAAGCATTGAAATGGGTGTTTTCAAATGATGTGTTAATATATATATATATATATATGTTATGTTTGAGAAAGTGGGTAAAATGGTAAATGGAAATCTTAAATGGTTTAGAAAGCATGATCATAGGGGTAGGAGTTTACCTGAGTGGAGGTGATGATAAAGATCATATGGCAAGCTCTCCTTAGTGCCGTAATAGGGTGCGGTGTTGGAGACAATTCTCCTTAGTACCTGATAGGGTGTAGTGTTGGAGACAATTCTCCTTAGTGCCTTATAAGGTGCAGTGTTGGAGAAGATTTTTTTAGTGCCTATTGAGGTGCAATTTTGGAGATGTGAGACTCCTTAGTGTCTATGTGATACTGTGTTAGAGTCAATGACACCCCATTATGTGTATTGAGGAAAACTATAGTCTATATGTGCATTAGAACATCTTTGTTGGGTGATTCTACTACTGCAGATGAGCTCAAGGCCAATGAGAGTATACATAGGTCTTAGGTGAGCCTATGGTTTTTGTCAGGATGATTTAGAGGTTCAGTCGGTAGTAATTATGCTAAGAGATGCTATGAGATACTATGGAATATTATGTGAAGTAGTGAAAAGTGGGGGATTAAATATATGATATAAATGCTATTTTAATGTGATTTAAATGGTATACTATGCTTTACTTCCATATTGTTGCATGTAATAGTCAAAATGAGTAAGTTATTCTGTCATTGAGATTTTTATCTCACCCTCGTGGTTACCTGTTTATAGGACTATGCAGTGATCAGGGCAAGGGAAGTGAGTCTGGACTAGCTTGAGTTGTTGAAGCCATGTGACTTCAGAGATTGTGTAATGAACTAAGAAACTTGTGTATATATATGTAAAAGAGTTGTCATAGGATTGCATGCATGACTTGAGTAATGATTTTTGTGGAATCTTAGCTCAATTGTATGTGTATGTGATGAAATAAATCAAGAAGCTATGATTTGAGTATGTTTGTGTTGAATTGTTGTTGATGTTGATGAATCTTATGCCCAAGTGAGAAATTATGATGAAATGAGTAACTTTGGGCTAAGATTGAGTAATACATGTGATTGTATATGAATGTGATTAGAAAATGGTCAGTTAGGTCAAGTTATGTTCAGAGATGGCAAGTGTAAAGTTTAGAAAATGTGAAAATTGATCGTAGAAGGGTCAAATTTCAATACATATGTGTGATTGTGACATAATATGGTCAATTAGGTGTGTTAGGTCTTTTTAGACTGATTTAAGGTCTAGTGTGATCTAATGAGAAAAAGGGATTAATTTGTGTACTTGGGTGTCCAAATTTTTTCAAAAAAGTGACTTTTTGCACCTAGTGTCCAAATTTTAGTCAGACTATTAAATCATGTTCAAACCTGTTCATTAGCTAGCTTATGAATAAAACTTCATGTGGGTGCTTGAATCACTTTGATCGGACATCATATGTGAGAATAGCGCATCCCGAAGTTCATTAATTTTGTTGTCAAAATGACATTAGAAATTTAGAGAGAAGCATTGCTGTACATGGTGACACATGCCACAGAGCATAACACAGAACAAGCTAAGCATGTAGCTCAGTGCCATATGTTGCAGTGCATGTACTACACACCGCGATGCATGCTATTAAAATGATAGTGTTCATGAGTGATATCCATTATGCATTAGATAAATATATGTTTTTCTTCCACTGTGTATTCTCTGGTAAGATATGCTTTTGAATGGTTTTACAAAATAAGTATTTGGTCAAAGCTTTTCAAATGAGATGCTTGATTTCTATGGTGACATGTGATATGTTAACTCTATAATCTTCCCCTATATTAGGTGAATATAGGAGGAGGTTATAAATAATGTGTTGTATATAAGTTGCCATAGGATAATATATACATGTAGGAAAGTTATATCACTAGTGAGCGTATTTGTGTAACTTGGATCTATAATGTGTACATTTGTGATATATGTGATGTTTGAGTCATTCAGGGCCGAGATATAATGCAAGTATGTATATATAATATGTTGTGGTAAAAGTGTGTGAAAGTGTGATCTTTGCCTAATTGTGTGAAATAGGTAGTTTAATGGCCAAACTTTTGTGTGTGTGATATTATGTATGTAACTAGTCAACTAGGTGTTAAATGTTCTTTTGAATGTGCTCAAGGCCCTAGAAGTGGCCAATAACACTTGGTTTAGAATTGGAATGCTTGAGTGAGTGGAAATAACTCAAAACAATTATTTTACATTTAGGTGTTCAATTTTTAAATGAAATATCATATTCAAATAAAACTAGTGTCATTAGCTAAATTTTGAAATAAGTTTCGTGCAAGTGCTTGAACCATCTTAATTGGACATCGGATGTAGAAATGATGCATGTTGAAAGTTTGCATTAGTGAACTATCATGATAGTAAAATTCTATCATGTGCTTTGCGACACATGGAGTACATGCCGTGGTGCATGTCATAGAGCGAGATGTGGTGGCTCAGTACCATATGTCGTGGCACATGTGTCACATGTCATGGCATATGGCTCAATCTGCCTAAAATTTTCTATTTCGCCTCTATTTTTTTTCTAGAGTGCTATGATACAAACTTATGCTTCCACTGTGCATAAGAGAGATTTCTAACCTATTTGAAATAGTTTTCCAAGGAATTTTATGTAGGATTCCAATCTTTTATGATTTACTATTCTAAACCTTAGTGTGTTTGCGTGTAGTCCATAATGTCAAGAAGGCCTTATATTATTGGTATCAGTTTCAAGAATTTTGAGATTTAGTTCTTGTCCTTGTTTATTACATTCATGTTAGTTAAAGAAAACTTATGTTCTTTCATTACACCACTCTTTCCCTTTTGTACACCTCATCTTTTGTTTACTATCCCTATGAGGAGAGAAAATAAGAAGAGGTACTCAGGCATCAGGGTGCTTATCAATAGCTAATGAACTATAGTAGAGGTTCAACTAGTTGAGCAACAATTGCAAGATAGATGAGATGAGTTGTTAGGGGAATTGAGGACATGGTTGTGGATATAAGGAGGCCATGGTGATAGAATAAAAGTTAGAGCAGATTTGTTAGGAGGAAGGCCACAATAGACATAAACCATTTCAGGATTTTGGCAGTAGACAAGCTGTTGGGACTAATGTGGATCTATCAGTAGACTAAGCTTGAATGACCTTTGTGAGGTTTAGTCTACCAACCTTCAATGACAATATGAAGGAGTGAGGTGTGACCTCTTTGTGCTACATGTTATAACACATGAGCCATATGCTATGGCGCCTTGTCCTATTTTAGCAAATATCTTGTTTCAGTGAATATAATTTAAACTACTATATTGAGTTCAAATAACTTTTAAAAAGGGTTTATAGAATCTTAATTATTTTGAATGTGTTTTATCTTATTAATTTTCTTTAAACTCTTTTGAGTGAATTAAGGCTTAGGAATGCTTAGTGCATCTTAATTACTATTGTGTGGCAATTCTTTTGTAGTAAATTATGGTAATGTCGAGGTGAACATTACTCTCTTTCTCTTTATACTTCCATGCAATAGAAAACAATGTATAGAACTCAATTCTCAAAAGGTATAAGTTTGAAACAAATAAAAATTATTAATAACTACTAAACTTGCTCTTTATGAGTAAGAAGAACATTGGTCCTTGCTTGTGATGACTCCAGCAAGTCTAGTAACTACGCAAAAAATTCCTCAACTATGTTGCTAATCTATTTTTAGATTTTCCTCAAGCATATAGAATCAAATTAAAGACAATATTTTGGAGGAAAATCATTAGTTGACAAAAAAAATTATAGAGAGAGACCTAAAATATTTACAGAACTTAATTAATATTAAAAGTATGATCGATATATAAAAAAATTGAAAATCATCTATAAATTTCTAAAAAAATAATTTGATTGTTAATATTTAAAAAATAATTTATAAATTTTGGATGAATATTTATAAGTAATAATATTTAAATTATTAAATACTAAAATATTTAATATTTTAACAATATTTATTAAATTTTATTTTAAAAATATTTCAGGGTATGCAACACTCTTGAAAAAAGAATTCAAGGGCAAATTAGCCCTAAAAGTTATGGCCAGAGTCCCCACTTATTATTACATGTAGGCCCTACATGTAATGTCTTTTGACATTAACCACATCACTAGGACAATTAAAGATATCGAGAAAGATATCTAAAGAAAATAGGATTAACCTTGACTATTTAAAATTCTAAAGAATTTATTTAAAAATATACTTTTGAGTAAATGGGATCCCATAATATTTAAGTTTGAAAACAAGTAGCTAAAGCCTTTTTTATGAGTTACAAATAACTTAAACATCATTTGATCAACCTCAAATTAGAGTATAAAAATATTTCAGAAGCATGGGATACCTCAAAAGAATGAAAAGACTCAAAATTCATTTGAAAAATATCAAGAATTAAGAAACAGAATAGTGCATTGTGGAATTTGCACATGTATCATAGCATGTGGCATGTTTTCAGACTGTAGTTCTATTGACATTTTACAACAAACTCGGGCAACTTTAGACATGCCTTATTTCTTCATCCAATGTCCTAATAAGATGATCTAAGTGTATACAAAAAATTCTTTTCATAAACTAGTTAATGACATGAGTTTTGCTTTCAAATTAAGTCACACAAAAAAGTTGGATATCCAAACTCATTTTCAAACTATTTTCACAACTTAAGAGTGTCCAAAACCCAGCACATATGCCAAAAGCCATTTTTAACACCCAGACCATACTTAATGGACTTAGGTTGACCTGTACAACACACCACATGCACATATACACCACATTATCAAACCTTCACTCCTTATCCCCTTTAATAATAAAATAGAAAGGGGAGGTCTTGGCATTGCATTTAACCACAAATAATCAAAGTTATGATTGAATTGACATTTTTATACTTACACTAGTATTTTGGCCCTAACAATATTTACAAATCTCATAAACAACATTCCAAGGCTTAAAATACATTCCAAAAATCACAAACAATAAAATAACACAAGTGTATGCAAAATATAACCTAATTAGCAATATATCAAATATTGCACAAAAATAATTGGAGTTAAGAGGCTATTTAGTAGGAATCTTATATTCCTAAGCCTTGGGAGCCTTTTCCTTATCTGCACCGGAGTTAGAGCTTGTAAAATATTAAAATAAAGGGGTGAGTCTAGCCATTGATAACCAAGGTACACCTACCCTATTCAATTGTATATCAATTGATTTTAACTCATAGAAAAAGGTGTTAATCACCTAAAATATACCATTACATGTAATGTAAATTGTCCTTTCTCAAATTAATTTTCTTACATGTTTCACATCTCAATTCATAGAGTTCATTACTAAAAGATACACAATATGGATAATGACCCAATTCATTAGTTCCATACACATTGCCATATTACAGTTAATCATGTGACCATAGCACATTTAGTATCATGACTTGCCACAAACTTAACAACTATGTGGCGTACCAGATAAACACACATACATGATCAATTCCACCTTATACCCTCCTTACATCTTCCAATTGTAACCGTGGGTTATAATAACAAACAAGGCTCCATTTGTATGATTGGACTACCTAAGCTTACCAATTATAAGGTGTGACCTAGCTAAAGATCACATAACTTACTCTCAGACCATCGCTTACCTCACTCTTGAATATTTGGGGTGTTGCATATCCTAAGCTAATCTTCTTGATAAACAGGTGAAATGGGTAGGTTTTAGTCTCTAAAAAGTTATGGGACAATTCCTTGACAAACAGTGGGGCAAGGCTTAGCCTTTGTGTGCTAAAAGGTAGCCAATAATATCATATAGATTTTATCTACTCTCCTCTCTCTTGATAAATGTAATGTCCACATTGACATTACCAAAATTCACTACATAATCACAATAAACAATCATAATTAAGAGCAAGGATTGCTCCTAAGCTAACATTATCATATAAGGGTTAAAACTAATAATCTTTTAAAAATAATTGTGAACTAATTAGGATCTCATAAAAACCCTTTAAATTGATAGTTTGAGCTCAAACTTAATGACTTATAAAGGTATTGGAAGCATGGAAAAGTTTTGGGAAGTAAACCACTTCGAAACAAGATCAAAATTGTCATTTTTGAGTGTTTTAGTCTATGCGTCGTGGCTCATGGTCTATATGCCACAGCATGTGGCACAGAAAGCCAAGTTCGCTCACTGTATCGTGTGCTGCAGCTTGCGCGAAATGTGTCGCAAGTGCACGTGTCCATAATAGCAATGCTGTCATGATAGCTTTTTTGGACAAATTTCAAACACGTTCCATTTTTGCATCCGATGTTAGATTGGAGTGATTCAAGCGCCTACGCAAAGCTTATTTAATAAGATAACTAATGGTATAAGTTTCGTTACAATCTGACACCCTATGAAAATTTTAGACACTCGAATGCAAAAGTCAGTTTTTAAAGACATTTTCAACGATCCAAGTACCCAAAACACATAACTTGTACCATTAACCCATTGTGAGGCTTGAACTAAGTCCAATGGACCAAAATACACTTAAGTGACAAATCAAACACACAAAAATATACCAAATACAAAATTTGGCCACTCAATGGCCATTTCACCCAATATGGCCTAAAACACACAATTAACACTACATGCACTATTTGGCTTCTATTGTCACATAATACATTATGATTACATTGTCACCACATAGATAAAACATTCTTTGCACTTGTATTAGTATTTTAGCCCATCACCACAAAAATTCCCACATATTCACATCACATACCATATTGGGCTAAAATACAAAACAACATAGTATGAAACAAGTGCAACCAATTAAAATGATATGCATTCCTAGTTGGCAACATATAATATCATTCATATAAGTTTATGTATAGGACTCAAAATGAAATCAGGCTTTATAATGAGAATGTAGCAAGTATGCTAGCCCTTGCCGATTCCCTCCCTGGCTCAGTTTCACTAGTAGAACCTGTAAAATAATAACCACGGGGTGAGATAAAAATCTCAATAACTAAGATAATCTACATTATCAATTAACAAGCCAAGTTATAAACAAGCATTAAAATAAGTAACATAATCACATCATATAAGATCACCACAAATTGCATGCATGATCCCGGACCATTCGATCCTCTAATACTCCCGACCAAACCATTAGGTTATTTCACAGAACCAAACCACATGTATGGCTCCCAAGATCACCATCCATGGTAGGACTACCCGGCCAAGGTGTCCTAAATCACTTCTGAATACTAGTTTCCCCTATTACAAGTAATTGGGGTGTCATTACTCTAACACCGCATCCTACGGATGCTAAGAAGCATAGTCTCCAACTTCGCACCCTTTTGGGTACTAAAGAGAGTAAGTCTCCAACACCGCACCCATTTTTGGGCATTAAGGAGAGTAAATGCTGCTTCTGGTGTTTCGAGATGCTAGCAATGCCATATGGACTCAATCTTCACTATCTCCACTAGGGTGACTTCCCACCCTTTAATATGCCACATTTTACTACATATCTCTGCTTGACCATGCATAAATAACTTTCAAATAAATATAACAAAATCTTACCATTTATTTCAAAAATATAGAATTTCACAAAGGAATACTCCACTCATTTTCTAAAATAGTTAACCTTTAAAGAAATTATACATATATACTCAAAATTCATAGAAAAGCAACTTGAGAACAACTTATAAAAGGTAATAAACAATGCAAATTATCTAGTTACCTCAACCCTTTTATTACTAAAAAGGATTATCCGTGGTACTAATTCTCTTCTTGTGTCAAGGTAAGTCTTCCTACTCCACAATCTACATCAATAAGTACTATATGTTAATTTTCAATTAACACAAGCACCATTAACTAATAATAACCTCCCAATTCTCCCACTTGTCACTCAAATTCTCAACAAATAGGCTTGTCAAGATTGCAATTTTTTCACACAATCCCTTTAAGCCTCCTTCTACTCTATCACAATATAAAACTTAATATCCCAACTTATTACTCTTCAACACCCTATGATCAAGTTAGGGCTTGATCCAAAATTCACCAAACAAAAAAGTAGCTTACTATTACCACATATCCAAGATCAATAAACCTAAATTAAACCTTTAGAGTCAATAGAAACCTTCAAAACATTGACTCATGACTTAATCCAATCAGATCAAATTCTCACTCTTTCAAATCCCATAGAAAATGAGATGAAAAGGTAGAGGAGAAGGGTAGGAAACTTACTTAAAAGTTTGAAGGCTCAATTTGTCTTTAAAACCCTCCCAAAATGATGCCCTAGCAGTGCCTAAAGTTGCCCCCTTCATGCTCTAGGTTTTCCACTACAAAATCTAACTTTTTCTGATCATTTCTGAAATTTTAAGTTGTCTGCTGTGCTGTGCACTGCAACGCACATCACACAAGCCGCAGCTCACAACACAACAAGCAAAATGTTGATTTTGCTACCCTTAATACCACCGACTTGATCCGACTTTCATCCTATCTCAATTTAGAGCCAAATATGACCCAAAAATCCAATTAACAACCCAAAAACATAATTAAATAAATTAATCATATTTTTTACTAATTTATCCCTTAATTAATCAACTTTTTCCAGATTTGAAGTTTCAGGATATTACATTTTCTCCTCCTTTAAAAGAATTTTGCCCCTAAAATTCAACAGCCACAACACATGCCTAGGGAAACAGATAGGGATACTGCTACTTTATTTTGTCCTCTGCCTCCCAGGTAGTATCACCAGGAGCCATTCCTTTCCACACCACCTTAACCAGTTGAATAGTCTTGTTTCGCAATTGCTTATCTTTAACATCTACTATTCATTCTGGCTCTACTCCATAAGTCATATTCTCTTGCAACCCTACCCTTCAAGTTCAATGACATGAGATGGATCAAGTTGATATTTCTTCAGTCGAGAAACATGAAAAACATCATGAATCCTAGATAATTATAGTGGCAAGGTGATTTGGTAGGTGATAGAACACATTTGTTACCCACTTTTATTTGTCAATTAGGACCATTTTATTAATGATTTATCACCTTCAAGTGCACACATTGCATTAGATTTGGAACTTTGCCTAAGTTTCTAGGTTCAGTGCACTAGGGGCATTTTGGTCCAAAAAATGAACTTTTGAGAAAATGTACAAGAAAAATTTACAAAGTGCATTTTATGTCTAGTTGATGAATGGGGAAATTATATTTTTAAAATTCATTTTAGTTTGGGAGTAATTAAATAAAAAAGTCAACACTTTCTTAAGTGTCTTAGTTTGTCCTAGTTTTTGGTTTGCCTTTGTGTGAAAATTTTTATATAATTTTGTGCAGCCTGAAACTTGGTTAATTTAATAAATTCTCCCTTCTAATTATGAATTTAATTTTGGATAAGAATTAGATTTTATTATATCATATGCTATTTAATTGAATTATGTGATTTATGTGACATAGGTGGCATGTGACTTGTGCATCAATTGGGCAATTGAGGTCAACACTCCTTGAGGTCAATGGCTGATGGTTTGCACGTGAATTATGATTATTTTGAGGGGTTAAATCAGCTAAAATGATGTGGATGACACATGGGAAATTAGGCACACATTGGAATCATCTACAAACCAATAGGAAGTTGCCACCTTACAAGTGTGACAAGGCTCCCATTTACATTTTAATTTCTTTTTCCTTATTTTAATTAAGCTTCAGCTGATGGGAGACACCAAGGAGCACGCCATTTTAAGCCCCAAATGGGATCCAACACATATCTCATTCATCTTCCACATTCTCTCTCTCTTGTTCATAGTGTTCTTCATTTTCTCTCTTTTGTTCTTCATTTTCCAGCACCCTAACCTCCATTTTCAGCCACCAAACCTCCACAAAACTCATACCATTCTTCTCCTCTCTTCATTTTCGTTCCATCCCTTCCATTTTCACAAGGATTGAAGCTCATTTCCATCATTCAAGAGCTATGGAGTTTGGCCTTCACAAGCAATCACTAGGGTTCTTGAAGATGAAGATCGGCTAAGTTTCTTTATGGAATCCTAGAGAGATGAAGATGGAGGATGAGTCTTGAGCTTCAAATTGGCTAAGGTCTTTTGTTTCCTATCCTCTTCTCTTTTTACTAGATGGTTAGATTCCTTAATCTAGGGTTTAATCATCTTAGCTTATAAATTGCTAATTTGAATTTGATGTTGATGTAAAGAGAGAGGATTGTTTCATTTAATTTCTTCCTTGGACAGCCATGACTGAATTTTGCCACTCTTTGTTTGGCACATAATCTTGTGTTTTTCAATTAGTGAATTTCTTGTGTTAATATTGCATAATCTTGTGGTGTTAATGCTTGTGTTGTTGAGTAGCTTGACATAATCTTGTGGTTGCTCAATTTATGTGTTTGACCATGGCTGTTGAGAGAGGATTTTGAGTGAATCACTTGGCTAATGTCTTCACCAATTGGTTAATTAAACTAGGGACTTTAATCTAAGACCTAGGGAGGTTAGCTAATTAGGTTAATTGGCTTAGGATAATTTTCTTAAGTCATGACAGCTTTAGTCAAGAGGAAAGGGAAGCTAAACTTGGCCTAATCATGAGAAGATAATGAGTCCAAAATCAACTAATCTCTAGGGTTCCATTATTGTGAAAAGGGAAGTTCATTTCACTCACTTTCACTAGCATTTTAATTACTTGCACATTAGGTAATTAGCTAGGTAACTAAATTCCTACAAACTTTGGTTGATTTATTTCACTAGATAACTTTCAGTTAGACTTAAAACCATTCCTTGGGAGATGACCTAGGGTTGGCCCTATATTGTATTAGGGTTAGCTTTAGTGTAATTTTGAGGATAAGCGACTAATTTCCTATCAAAATTTTGGCGCCGTTGCCGGGGAATGGTTTAAGTTTAATTCTAAGGTTGTTTAGTACTTAATTTACATTTTTAGTGTTCCTGGAAAATTTTTTGAAAAATTATAAAAATTTGTGTTTTGTGTTTTGTTTAGTGTCTTTTGTGTGTTTTGAGTGTTTTTGTTCTGTTTTAGAAAAAAAAAAGAAAAAAAATTAGTGCAATTTTCGTTGGTTTGGTATAGAGTTGATGATACTCTGTTTCTAGTGTCTCTGCTTGAAATTGAAAAATTAACTGGGAATGAATCTGAGGAAATTTAAACTTCAAATTTATTTCATTGAAAGATATATATCTTAGCTTCATTTTAAAATTTGTTTGGTCAATTTTGGATGTGGGATGTGTCCTGTGAAAATTTTACAATTTAACAAGGTCCAGAGAGCCTTTACAGAGGACTCCTAAAACCCTGTTTCAACTTTGAGTTTTCATATCTCCCTCTCTGTGCGTTCAAATTGATTGATTCCAGTTTCATTTTTCTTATCACTGTCTTATCTTTGTTTCTTGTGTTTAGGAGTTTCTTCAATTTTTCCATTTTCCTATTTGAAAGTTTGTTAGAAGCTCTGAAGGTCTTCTGGACGAAATCCTGTTTCTCCAGACCTGTGGACCAACTTGTGAAAACTTCTGGGAACGATTGGGAGGGATTTGTAATCTGAAATTTTTATATAATTTTTATGAATATCTCTTGTCTCTCTCGTAAAAGTTTCAGGCGAATTTCTCATATGGATTGGCTGATAAAAAATCCACAAGTTCACTATCTCCAAAAAGCCTACTGTGCAAATTCCAGAATTGTAAAGCTTCTTGATTGAGCATTTCTAACTCTCTTTCTACTTGTTTAGTGTTGTTTTTTATTTTTTTTTTCATTTTTATTGTTTTTAATTCTAATAAAAAAAGAAAAAAAAATTTCTCTTGATTTTTGTTTGCTTGCATTTCCACTCATACACTTGCAAAGGACATATCATTTGAGCTTCCTTGGTCTTTCCATCATTTTGAGCTTGAATTTGAATCATTGCTTGTGGATATAAATTTCATTGCATTTTATGGCTTGGTTTCATGATCATGATTCATTCCATCATTCATTTGACATCCATTCCCATCCATTTCCAGCGCTTAACATTGACCATACATCCCATTTCCATAATCAATTTCAACAATATAACTTTGATTATCCACCCCCATATCATGATCATTTCCATCCAAGTCACAATTATGAATTTTCCAATCCCATGAGTTTTGAAGCCAATCTAAGCACTCATGTTGAGCGTACACCATCCATTGACATTGAGCATCTAGAAAAATTATATGCACAAAGGGGTAAATTTTATTGTGTGCATTGTGAGGCTATCTCCCACTTCTATTATGATTGTCCTATTCTAAAAGGATATTGTGAACCACATGGAGTAGCCCAAGCCTCACAAGAGAGAAATTACATGTTTCAAGTTGAAGACACACAAAAAGTTGCTCATGAAGCTATTGAGAATATAAATACACCTCAAGCCACTCAATCTCCAAAAGAGAAGGAGTCAATCCAACCCTTACTTCAAGAGGTAATTTCTCCTATTCCTATTGAGGTTGATTCTTCTTCACATTTGACTTTATCTAATGATGAGCATAATGATTTAAATGATGATGACGTAGATGAAGAAATTATAGTTGAATCACCTTGGATGTTTGAGCATGAATTATATTGTGAAAAAGTATACCCTTGGGAGAAAAACACTTTGAGTTCACATGATAATTATCTTGATTTAAATTCAAATATCATTGAAAGTGTTGACTCTTCACTTAGCTTGAATAAAGAAAATGAAATGGATGTTGATGGTGGCGATGATGTATCTTGTATGCTTGAAATTCCAATTCCTTCTTGTGATATTGTTAATAGTGCACATGCACTTGTTTCTTCTAACCATGATGTGCTTGAGAAAGGTTGTTTACCTTCTTTTGTAGGTGAACAAGGCAATGTAGCCAAACCATCTCTTGATTTCAAACTTGCTCAACTTGAAGAGGCTGTGGCTCCTACTAAGGATTTGAACAAGGAATTGAAAATAACTCAAGATGACAAGGAGGTTGAAAATCAAGGAATTGATTTTACAAAGCCAAATAGTAATGAGAATAACATTGATTTAATGCTTGATGATTTTGATGATGAGTTGGCTTTGTTTCATAGTACTTGTTCTAATTTCCTATTCACTTGTGATTGTTCACATGATTCTCCATGCCCTATTTGTTTAGAAATTAATTCATTTGTGCTTGAAAATAGTAGCAATCATTTACTTGATAAAATAATTGATGATGCATGTTTGAGTGAAATTAATCATGAGTGCACTTCTTTGGAACCCAATATGCTTGAAGAAGGGTTCTTTGTTGATTTTATAGGTCTAAATGATGATATGGCCAAGAACCCCCATGTACTTAGAGGATTTATCATTGCAATGGAAGAGACCTTGCTAATCATGAAGATGATCAACCACATGAAGTTATGAAAGATTCTACACCATACATCTTGGAGCCATTACAAATTGATCTTGAGCCTCTACTTAAGATGCTTGGAATGAAGATGATAATGAGTAGCTTCATGCTACTCCTCAAAGATGAAAATTTTAACTTCAAGAGCTTGTGGAGATTTAAACTAGGTTCGTATCTTCTTCACCCTTGCTTTTTACTTTAGTTTGCTTTATGCTTTGATTTGTTGATTGAGTAAATTGCAAGTGTGGGGGAGATGAACCTCGTAGGAAAATTAGAGTTTATTTGCTTTATTTGACTTCTTTGTTTTGTGTTTTAGTTTGACAAAAAAAAAATTTTGGACCACACTTTTGTTATGCATTCATTATTGATCACACCTTATTTTATCATTAGTCTATACATACATTGAGGACAATGCATGATTTAAGTGTGGGGGAGAGAAATAAAGATTTTGTTTTGTTTGTTTGGTTTTGCAAAAAAAAAAAAATTGCTTTGTTTTGTTTTGTTTGAGGTTACTTAATTACCTAGCTCTTAAATGGATATTTTGATTCTTGAGATGTGGTAATTTTTAGGATTGAATAGGTGTGAAGTGAATATTCTTTTACCTTGAATTAATGGATTAGAGTGGCATATTACCCTTTCATGGAAGAGGCTAAACACTCATGTGTGATTAATTCCTTAGTGATGTTACCCTCTAGAATTTGTTTCACTTCTTAATTAAGACCACATATCTCGCACTTGTTTGATAGGAGATGAGAGATGGCATTCATAAAAAATAGCCAAAAGCCAAATAGCCAACCTATTATCATTTATTATCCTTTGTTAGCCACTTTGAGCCTTTAGTTTGATTCTTAAATATATGTATATATATATTCACCCTATTTTTCCCCATGGAATGCATGTTACACTTTTATATGTCTTTTTAATATTCATTGCATGTTCCTAGATCAAATGAGTGGATGCCTATTATTATTTTTCTATCCATTACTCTTTATCCTTTATTGCTACACCATTACATCCATTACTTCCATTGTTTTCAAAGAGTTAGGGGCAACAAAAAAAAAAACAAAGATAGATTTGAAAAAAAAAATATAGTCAAAAAGAAAAGAAATAAAGTTGCTAGAAAAAGAAACAAAAAGAAGAAGAGATAAAAAAAAAGAAAAAAAAAAGTTGCCTAGCTCATCCATTCCATTTGTTTTATTATTTCTTATCATTTCTTTCCATCCTCATTGTGTTAAGGTGTTCACTTAATTGAGTTAGGTTATGTTTTGCATATTAAGGGGATATATCTTGATTTAGTATTATTTTGATGCTAACCCTATTTTTTTATATACATGCATTTCTTAGACATCCTTTCATTACCTATATCACAACCTAATAAAGTCCACTTGATTCTTGATTGCAAGTGCTATTTAGTGATGGAGATGTAGAAGGGTTACAAATTTATAGTAGGGTTTATCCTAAGAAATTTTGAGTGAAATTTAATACCTTATACACTTTAAGTGATGAGAGCAAACACTTAACCTAGAGAGGCTTACTCTTTGACATTGATTCTTGGTAAGGGTTTGTTTGTGATGTGCTTAATTCTTTCCTAATTATTGCCACATTGATTGATAATTTGTAGAAGTTCATGAGCTAGTATTTTAGTGACTTCAAACAATGTTTTTCTCTTATTTCTTTGTCTTATAGTTTCTTTTGGGACCTTTTTCACTTGATTTTGCCCGGAGTGCAAAAGCTAAGTGTGGGGGAATTGATAGAACACATTTGTTACCCACTTTTATTTGTCAATTAGGACCATTTTATTAATGATTTATCACCTTCATGTGCACACATTGCATTAGATTTAGAACTTTGCCTAAGTTTCTAGGTTCAGTGTACTAGAGGCATTTTGGTCCAAAAAAATGAACTTTTGAGAAAATATACAAGAAAAATTTAAAAAGTGCATTTTATGTCTAGTTGATGAATGGTGAAATTATATTTTTAAAATTCATTTTAGTTTGGGAGTAATTAAATAAAAAAGTCAACACTTTCTTAAGTGTCTTAGTTTGTCCTAGTTTTTAGTTTGCCTTTGTGTGAAAATTTTTATATAATTTTGTGCAGCCTGAAACTTGGTTAATTTAATAAATTCTCCCTTCTAATTATGAATTTAATTTTGGACATGAATTAGGTTTTATTATATCATATGCTATTTAATTGAATTATGTGATTTATGTGACATAGGTGGCATGTGACTTGTGCATCAATTGGGCAATTGAGGTCAACACTCCTTGAGGTCAATGGCTGATGGTTTGCACGTGAATTATGATTATTTTGAGGGGTTAAATCAGCTAAAATGATGTGGATGACACATGGGAAATTAGGCACACATTGAATCATCTACAAACCAATAGGAAATTGCCACCTTGCAAGTGTGACAAGGCTCCCATTTACATTTTAATTTCTTTTTCTTTATTTTAATTAAGCTTCAGCTGATGGGAGACACCAAGGAGCACGCCATTTTAAGCCCCAAATGGGATCCAACACATATCTCATTCATCTTCCACATTCTCTCTCTCTTGTTCATAGTGTTCTTCATTTTCTCTCTTTTGTTCTTCATTTTCCAGCACCCTAACCTCCATTTTCAGCCACCAAACCTCCACAAAACTCATACCATTCTTCTCCTCTCTTCATTTTCGTTCCATCCCTTCCATTTTCACAAGGATTGAAGCTCATTTCCATCATTCAAGAGCTATGGAGTTTGGCCTTCACAAGCAATCAATCACTAGGGTTCTTGAAGATGAAGATCGGCTAAGTTTCTTTATGGAATCCTAGAGAGATGAAGATGGAGGATGAGTCTTGAGCTTCAAATTGGCTAAGGTCTTTTGTTTCCTATCCCCTTCTCTTTTTACTAGATGGTTAGATTCCTTAATCTAGGGTTTAATCATCTTAGCTTATAAATGCTAATTTGAATTTGATGTTGATGTAAAGAGAGAGGATTGTTTCATTTAATTTTTTCCTTGGACAGCCATGACTGAATTTTGCCACTCTTTGTTTGGCACATAATCTTGTGTTTTTCAATTAGTGAATTTCTTGTGTTAATATTGCATAATCTTGTGGTGTTAATGCTTGTGTTGTTGAGTAGCTTGACATAATCTTGTGGTTGCTCAATTTATGTGTTTGACCATGGCTGTTGAGAGAGGATTTTGAGTGAATCACTTGGCTAATGTCTTCACCAATTGGTTAATTAAACTAGGGACTTTAATCTAAGACCTAGGGAGGTTAGCTAATTAGGTTAATTGGCTTAGGATAATTTTCTTAAGTCATGACAGCTTTAGTCAAGAGGAAAGGGAAGCTAAACTTGGCCTAATCATGAGAAGATAATGAGTCCAAAATCAACTAATCTCTAGGGTTCCATTATTGTGAAAAGGGAAGTTCATTTCACTCACTTTCACTAGCATTTTAATTACTTGCACATTAGGTAATTAGCTAGGTAACTAAATTCCTACAAACTTTGGTTGATTTATTTCACTAGATAACTTTCAATTAGACTTAAAACCATTCCTTGGGAGATGACCTAGGGTTGGCCCTATATTGCATTAGGGTTAGCTTTAGTGTAATTTTGAGGATAAGCGACTAATTTTCTATCAGTAGGTAACTGGCCCAACTTTCTTGAGAATGTCAAATGGACCCATGAATCGAGGAGATAATTTCTTTTCTCTGATTGACCTCTCTATTCTCGTCACAGGTGAAACTCTTAGAAAAACATGGTCACCAACCACAAACTCCAAAGCCCTTCGCTATCTATTCGCATAACTCTTTTGCCTATTCTGAGCCGTTAGAAGTTTCTACCTTATCCTTTGAATCTTTTGTGTCGTTTGATCCACAATATCAGGACCCATAATGCTTCTCTCACTCAGTTCAACCCAACAAAGATGAGATCGACATTTTTTTTCATATAGTGCCTTATAGGGAGCCATCCCTATACTGGAGTGGAAACTATTATTGTAGGCAAACTCTGCCAAAGAAAGATGGCTATCCCAATTGCCTCTCAGTTTCAAGGCACAAGCTCTCAACATGTCCTCTAGAATCTGTATAGTCTTTTCTATCTGTCCATTAATCTGTGGATGATAAGCTGTGCTGAATCTTAATTCAGTACCCATTACTCTCTGCAATGCTTTCCAAAAGTTTGAGGTGAACCTCGGATCACAATTAGAGACAATATTCTTTGGCACCCCATGCAATCTCACAACTTCTTAAATGTAAATCTCGGCCAACTTTTCCAATGAATCACTTATTCGCATTGCCAAGAAATGGGCTAACTTTGTCAATCTATCTATAATCACCCAGATAGAATTATGACTAGATTGTGTTCTTGGTAATCCTGAAATGAAATCCATAGATATACTATCCCACTTTCATTTCGGTATCTCTAGTGGTTGTAAGGTTTCTACTGGTCTCTAATGCTCAATTTTAGTTTTGAAAAATTAAACATCGAGACACAAAATCTATAACATCCCTTTTCATTCTAGGCCACCACCAATACCACTTCATATCCTAGTACATCTTAGTTGCTTCAGGGTGAATTGTATATCTACTCTTATATGCCTTATTCAAAATTTTCTTTCTTAAATCACCCTCATCTAGTACAAAAACCTGATCTCGATATACAACATATCCATCATCACTGAAACCAAAGTCTATGGTTCTCCTTTCCTCCACATCTTCTCGAATTTTCAATAGATACTCATCCTCAAGTTGTGTTGTCCTTAACTCTCTCCAAAACTCATTGGTAATCTCTATGGAATGTAGGCTACACAAAGTAAATTCTGGTGAGTCATGCTAAATATCTAAGTAGGATTCCAATAATTTGTGCTCTTGCACTATTAGATAAGCGACATGCAATGACTTTCGACTTAAGGCATTTGCAACCACATTTGCTTTCCCGAATGGTATTTAAATTTGAAGCTATAGTCCTTCAAGGACTCCATCCAACTTCTTTGCCTCATATTAAGTTCCTTTTGATCAACTAAATATTTCAGGCTTTTGTGGTCACTGAAAACACTAAACACTATTCTATATAAATGATGCCGCCAAATCTTTAATGCAAACACAACTGCAGCAAGCTCTAAGTCATAGGTAGGGTAATTTTCTTCATGTGGCCTGAGCTGTCTAGAGGCATAAGACACTACCCGCTCATCTTACATCAACACACATCCCAAACCTTTTAGAGATGCATCTGTATACACTTCATATGGCAATCATGGATTAGGAATAATCAACACTAGTGTCGTAATCAGTTTCTCCTCCAACTTTTGAAATGCAATCTCGCACTTGTCATCCAAATGAATAGCTGATCTTTTTGGGTCAACCTAGTCAATGATGGAACCATCTGAGAGAAACCCTAGATAAATTATGATAATATCCAGCAAATCCTAAAAAACTCCATATTTCATTTATAGAACTAGGTCTTTCCCATTTCAACACCGCATCTACTTTACGCGGATCCACCGCAATCCCTTCCACCGACACAACATGTCCTAAAAATCAAACCTCTTGTAGCCAGAACTCACACTTGCTAAGCTTGGCATAGAGCTTATTGTCCTTCAAAATTTGTAGAGCAATCCTCAAATGCTTCGCATATTGCTCCTCATTTTTAAAATATATCAAAATGTCATCAATAAATACCACTACAAATTAATCTAGGTAAGGCTAAATATGCGGTTCATGTAGTCCATGAAAATCACAAGCACATTTGTTAACCCAAATGGCATGACTAGGAACTCATAATGCCTATATCTGGTACGAAAAGCCGTCTTGGGCACATCCTCCAAGCGCACTCTCAATTGATGGTATCCTGACCTCAGGTCAATTTTTGAGAACACCGAAGCTCCCACCAATTGATCTAACAAATCATCAATACTTAAGGATTTTTGTTCTTCACCGTTACCTTATTCAACCGTCTATAATCAATATAGAGCCATAAGCTACTGTCCTTCTTCTTAACAAACAGCACAGGTGATCCCCAAGGTGACATACTAAGTCTAATAAATTCTTTTTCAAGTAACTCCTCTATCTGCTTCTTTAACTCAGCTAACTCCATTAGTGACATTCAGTATGGTGCCTTTGAGATTGGTTCAGTTCCTGGCACTAGGTCTATGGTGAATTCCACTTTCCTTTCTAGAGGTAAACCAGACATATCATCCTTAAATACCTCAGGGAATTCATTCACTACCTCAATCTTATCAATATTTCCATTATAGACCCCATGTACTGAGAAGAAAACTATATAAGCCATACACTCTTGTTGCATTAGTTTCTTTGCTTACACCACTGATAAGAACTTAGACTCGCTAGGAATATTAGCCGGTATAGTATGTACCGGTAAGAAAACTGTCTTCCTAGCACAGTCCAAAATGGCATTATTTGCCATCAACCAATCCATATCGATAATCACGTCTAAACCCTTCATAAGAATTTAGATCAAATCTAGAGTGGTTGAATGATTTTCAAACCTTACTTCTACATTCAAACATACTTTATTGGTCATATCAGATGACCCAGTTAGCATAGACAATTTAATCACATAAGGCAATTCATGCAAAGGAAGTCCCAACCTCTCTACACATTCATATGAAATAAACAAATGTGTAGCACCAGAATCAAACAATGCTTCAATTTTCTGCTCGCAGATAGAAATAATACCTTTTATCAAATTTGGCAATGCTTTTACCTCCTCCTGAGATAGTGTGTAGACTCATCTTGAAATGGTAGATCTTTGCTCTGCCACCTCCACTCTTCCTTCAGGGCATTGTCTTACTAGATGGCTAGGTTTCTCATATTTAAAACATGCCTAGTACCTCCCAGGATGTGACTGCCCACACTTAGCATACGGTGATAGTCGAGCTGTACTCAAGGTCGGGGCAGGCATATTAGAAGCCTATTGGGATAGTTATGGAATACCAAAACTCCTAAATCCACCCCTCTGAAATGTTCCCTGAGTCTGTGATCCTCTAACAAGACTCTTCTTGCCCGATGCTATAGAACTACTCAGGCCATAACCTGTCTTCTTAGAGACTCCTCTAGAAAGGCCTAGGGAGGATGAGAACCTCCCATGACTATCTTGTCTCTTTTCTGCTTCTACTTCCCGACCCCTTCTTGCTGTAATTCGGAGTCAATTACACATGTCACCATATATGGTTACTCCTAGCAGAGCAATTTGCTGTCTATATTCAGGCCTCATCTTTTCCAAAAGCCTCTTGGCCTTCCACTCGCTATCACTCATCTCATTCAGATAAGTAAAAAATTTTGATAGCTGATTAAACTTTTGAATGAATGCTTCCTCATCAAGATCTCCCTACCGATATGCATAGAACTCGGCCTCTTTCTTATCTTTAAAAGCTAAAGGAAAATGATGATCAAAGAACATTTCCTTGAATTGTTCCTATGTTAGCTGGCGTCCATCTATTAGTCTTACAGAATTCCACCAGTATTTAGCATCTTCAACAAGATACACTGTGGCTATAATCACCTTTTGTTTCATAAAACACAGTACCACCTCAAAGATGGTCTCAACTCTCTCTATCCATTTCTCCGCTTCTCCTTCCTTCATAGTTCTATTAAAGGTTGGAGGGTTAAACTGAGAGAAAGTCCTC